GTAATTTTGTAAGTATTGTAAATTCACCAATGAACATTTTTACCTTGGTTGAATAATTTATTAAAATAAGGATTTTTTATTTGGGTTCAAAGTTAAACCCTGTAAAAGCTTTGGTTTGGGAATTTATTTACTAAGTCGCCATTTAGGTTCGATGGCTCAGGCCATTTAAAAGCTTTCATAGGTTCGAGATCAACCCGGTATAAAATCTCACATTGGCTTGATTAACATGGCATATACGACGACCATACCAAAATTGCCTTCCTCAAAATCTCATGTTTCTATGGCATCTCTCGCAATCGTCACAATACGATGACAAACTGATAACAAATATTGGGCGTGACCATCCTTAGCCCGTTCATCTTTCAATATATTTTGGTGAGCTAGTCTATGTGATTCTCCTACGACATCAAGTGTCATGTAAGGATGTGACACCTGATACAACAAATGGATGTAGCCATCTGCAACAGTTCAAGGATAAAGAGCTGGCACCCCTCGTGCCTCATCTAGTACCAGATGACTATAGAAATCATCGAGTATGGCATCAAGATCTTTGCGGAAGACTATCAAAGAAGAAGAAGACACAGAGGGAGGTCTTGGAATAATCTCAAGATAACCGAACTGGCGCGTGACCCGCTTAGGCACATGTGGATACATCAGACGCGACCTACAAATTAATCATCCATAGTAGAAGGTTATCTTGTCTAAGGGACGCGTCTAATGGTGGCCTTCATACATGCATAAGTATATGTCATGTGCTTTAGTGCGGTTAATAAACACCATGTACGACTCTATCGCTTGATTCCCTCTACGTGGCAAAGGCGCAAGCACGTGGCCAATTCTCATTATAGTCCATCTCTGGTTTCCATCTGGATAAGTGAGGAAAGTGAGAGATAATCCACACCTAAAAATGGCTCAGATAAAATATTAGTAATAAATGTTATGAAAATATTAGTAACAGTAAAGATTGTAAATATATTATCGTAAATAGTGTGCAGCTTCATGCCATACGTCTTGTCTTCCAAAGACAAGTTTCACCTAGTTTAGAGTACATATAAACCAAACATGTTGCCCCCAAATTGTACTCGTGGATCCGCTCTAAGTTGATAAAGTATGTCAGGCAGACAACATCGATGTATGTTGCACTTTTGTCCATAAATATTGTCGTTTAAACCAAATATAAGAAGTATGACCTCAATGCACATTGTATGTCAAACAAAACCTGTATTTCATCACTTTCGGCCTTCACTGCTACAGTCAGGTGGTATTTGTACAGTTCCTCCAGGTATGAAAATCGGACATGAGCACCTCTCGTGGCATCAAGCTCCTGTTGGGCCTCGTTTGGGTCGGCTCCTAAATAGTTTGCTATCAATTCAAATGACTCATATTTGTTAATCCATGAATGGTTTAGTAATCTTTCCCTAATCGGAAGATGCAGAAGGCATGAGACATCATCAAGGGTGATGGACATCTCACCATGAGAGATGTGGAAAGATGACGTCTCTTTGTATCATATATCCACAAAAGCTGTCAACATTCCATGGTTAATGGTCATGTATCAAGTAGTGCATAAACCTGTCAGCCTAGAGTAATGAACTACATCTTAAAACCATGTGTTTACATTATGTTCCAAGTTCAAAATCTTCCTGGAATGATTTACATATTTTTATAGTTTTACGTCCTGAGAATAAAATATATCAATATCTATCGCAACTTAATTAGTATGAAAGAGATGTAATGTAAAAGTAAATAAATATATATCTTCTTCTTAGCAACATGCTCAACATAGAGAGTAACTAAGGAGGTGTCATAGAGGCCTCTTGGGAAACTATCAGGAACGGGAGTAGTTGAAGCAGTAGGTTCCTTCTTTTATGCTTTAAGACTTTCAGGGGGCTTCATAAGTTAGAGGGTCAGCAGGAGACACGTGCCCTCACAAGATCGAACCTAAGACACGTGACTTTGTGAAGCCTGAGACACGTGCTCGTGTGAAGTCGAAGCTTCTGCGTTAAACGAACTAACACTAACTCATAACCTCGAGCGCACCTCCCTCTCCCTACGAACACATGCATGTTGGGAAAAATGATTATGCCTCAACCTATCCTGATTTTCAGTCATTGTTCCTATAATATAAAATAGATAACAATATCAAAATCATGACAACTATAGTTCAAAGATGAATCTCTGTAAAATAGAAAAGGCAAAAAAAAATCAGAAAAAAACAAAGATGTATCTCCGTAAAACAGGATAGGCAAAAATATCCAAAAAAATAATATGAAGATGTATCTCTATAAAAATGTGTGATATTAGAAATTTCAAAAAATGCAGACAATGCCCTAAACACCAACAAATTTGTATGCATGTCTAAACAAAGTACCTTTTTGAATGTAACTACAAACTTATGCATTTTAAATAGCCTATTTTACCTGATACATGCATCACAACTCAAAAATAGAAAGAAAATGAGAAACTTACCGATTGAGAGTTGTTGTGCGAAACTTTAATGGAGTGAATGGAATACACTAGAATTGATTACAATGCAGTAGAAGTAATATTAAAGTTTGAATAATGACACACTTGAATCTTGCTCAAAGCTCTTTGAAGGATTTGTGAAAATGTAACAAATGAAGAAGGAATGGGGAAGGTTCTAGCATGAGGTATAAGAATTAAAATTTGTCCAGAGATTCATCTTCCTAAAACTCACTAAACGTAAAACTCGGTATTTTGAATTAAGGGTGGTTATAAAGATACATCTCCTAACAGATTTTTGGGCCAAATATGGGTGGCTAACTCATTCAAGGTTTGAGAATATGTAATTTGAGTGCGTCTCTGGTTTCTATTAATTTTTGTGACTTTTCACCATGGTGAACTAGCACTCCCATAGAATGAGAAAAATAATGTCCAACGTCAAATATATTGGCATTAAAAAAATTTGGACCAAGAACTTTGAAGATCTACCCATTTCCAAAAGCATGTGTAGCTCTCCATGGAATAGCAAATTTATAGATGCAACACATATCAAATAGTCATTGATTATTTTATCTAATGGAAAATAATAATATATTAAAAATAATGAACACTCATCAAAGTACAACAAAGATAGATATAAAGCACAAGTCAACTACAAACAAGAAATAACAAATGAAGAACACACAACAAAAACAAACAAGACACGCACTCCTAATCAAAGGATCTCTGCGGATAAAGACTCAAACTATTAAAGATCTATCTTATGAGCAATAGGTTAGATCTTAAATCGCCAAATTCACCATCGATATATATCATATCACATCAAAAGAGCACAAAAGAAAAAAACTAATGCCAACACCAACCTCAAAATCAAGACAAATACTCAATCTGATGGATGATAGGATTACAAAGTCAATTAATGAAGGTGCAAGAATTCATTTATGATCTACTAAAAAAACATTTCCAAAACAAATAAAAAATACTTTCCTCCACAATTTTCGTTAATTTTTTTACTCAATTAAAATGATATCATTGTGGATTTTTCAAATTGACCAAATACAGTAAGCCAAATCAAAAGATAACCATCTTTATACTTAATATTGCTATTTAAAGAAATAAAAGATTAAAAAAATATACCATAGGGTCATTAATATAACCACCCGTGACGCTAACCACTTAAAAATTCTATGTCAAATTCCAAATCAACAAAACTAACTAACAAGTAAAAAAAAAAAGAGAAATCGTCTCAACCTAATACCCACACAAGTAACCTAAGTTGAAATGCCACTGTACCAGCGGCTACCTAAAAACAGTTTGAAATCAACAAACAAAAGGAACTTACACTAAATATAATGACAATTTTGCAGAGATCAAAATAATCAAACCAACTGGAAACAAATGTGATGGAAGATGAAAACAAAAACATTGAAACCATATTTATCTTGAAAACAAAGAGTGTGGTCTTGAAGAAGCAAAAAAACTAAAATTAAGAACAGAGGCAACAAAAGATCAATAACAGAGAACAAAAAAAGAATGAAGACTTAGCGTTGTTACAACTCGAGGAAAAACTACAACCGCACAAGATATAAAAAATGGACGGAAATAATTATCAAGAATAAAGATCAATGTGAGAAAATAGAATGATACACACACTAAACCAAATTGAAGGGGGAAAATCAAATTAGACAAGACCTTTGATTTTTTTTTTCAAAAAAGAAAGTTACAACTAGAAAAGGAAAGAGAAAATTCTTAAAGGTATATTTGTATTGATGAATGTAAAATAATACAAATGAGGAAAAGTGAATTTAAGGAACTACATTAAACCTATTTCTAGTCATTCACAAACTAGTAACTAACTCCTAACTACATTTCTAATAGAAAGCAAATTCAATTTCCCATCACAAAATCAAACGCTTGTAATTTCATCAAAATCACGTTTAACAAGAACAGAACCAATTATAATGCAGTTCAGCATGAAACCAGACACTAAATTTGAAGAGTTGAAAATCATTTGACTACATTGATTCAATTGGTACAAAAACCTGTTATTATTCGGTAGGTAGAATACAATAAACCTATACAAGCTCAAATAAGATATAGTAATAATAATATAATATATAATTTATAAACAACATAATATGTAGAGAGATGTTACTTTCCCTTGGGGTTGTGTCCCTGTAACTTCAACTCCTAATTAATCTGCAACCAACCATAGTGGATTGCAGTGTGATACACAGCAAAAGAGAAGATTATATACATCTGAATCTTGAATGAAATAAATAATGAGGTTAACCTTGACAGGTCATTTTGCTCATTTTTCACTTGCCTCGCTTTCAGATCGTTTAAGCAAGCTGGACAGGAGAAGATACATGACTCTTATCGACCATCAACATGCAAAGAGCAGAGACCCTTCAGCAGAGAGAGAGAGAGAGAGAGAGAGAGGGGGGGGAGGGGGAGAGAGAGAATGGAGTACAACTTATAATTTATCATCACAGCTGGGTGTACACTTCACTAAACACTATTATTATTATCAACATTCATGCACCTTCCTCTCTTTCTCCGTTTTGCTCCTGGCTATGGAAAGCAACTACCTGTTGTTGCAACTGTGGAAAGGGATAACCAAATTGTTCATTAGGGGGGGCCTTTCATGGCCTTGAACATAACAAGATAATTTTAGATAGGACAAGTGAGCAATAAAAGGTATATATGATTTTGATAGCTGCAAAATAATGTTATGTTATAATCTATGTAGCACTGACACCTCTAAAAAAAGACATGTCCGTGTTAATGTCAAACACTTGCACCGACACTTGTGATGATGTTTAATTTAATTATTTTATCAAATTATTACCGGTATCCGTGTCAATGTCGGGTTTTTTTTAGGTGTCCGTGCTTCATAGATTATAATACAATATAGTATAAAATATAAATCACGTTCAAATTATTTCAATTTTTTTTAACAATGATAAAAACTACATAAAAGAATATGATAAATTATATGTATAACGTGGTTTTCTATAAAAAAAAATTAAAAAAAACTTTTAATCTTTTATACTATATTAATTAATGAAATCATTATTAATTTTACATAAGAACCATAACTTTATATTAGTTTTTAATAAAGTATTTAACACCAAAATAATAAATGTAATAAAGATGTACTGAATTATAAAACTAAATTTTCATATACTGTTAACCTATTAGTTAGGTTTTAACCAAAATTTTCATATATGTTATGCAAGCATGATGAACCCAAAAAAGGCCGAAGAAAAATCAAGCATGATGAACCCAAAAGAGGCCGAAGAAAAATCAAGCATGATGAACCCAAAAAAGGCCGAAGAAAAATCAAGCATGATAATGAATCATAAAAACTTGAGTAACTTACCTGCATGTGTTTTAACTTCTCAGAAGTAAGCTCATCTGTCAAACTGCTCACACTGTCAACACAAAACAGAAGGACCAGGTGAGCGTTTTGAAGTCAAAGCAAAAGGGTTACTGAAAAAGTGTTTTACAAACTTATAACTAACCGAGACTGAAGTTCTGAAATTTTGGCCAGAAGAAGTTGTTCTCTCTCTGAAGCTGCTATCTCAACCTATAAAAAATTCGGGGGAAAATCAAGCTCTTGAAAAGATGTTTTACTCTGTGTGGGTTATGTCACCACAACAGAGCTGGCAAGTGCTTGAAATGAAAATACAAGTTATGGGGCTACATGAAATGAAAATTTGCTTACACTGCCATTATTCTCTGAACTGCGAGGTATTGGTGGCAACTTTCCATTCTGAGACGCTGAAAATATTAAATACACTCGTCATGTAATCAATGTTATACAGAAAAAAAAATAATGTCTTCAAACATAACGGAAAACCTTTCACTCACCATCATTTGCCTCAGCAGTTTGCAAGCTATTCAACAGACTCATTATAAGATCCTGGAATGAAACAACTCTTCAATAAGATTATAAATTTGTTAAGTTACATAATCAATTATCTAACGGAAAACAGTTTCCCTACCTGTTGAATAGACGTCTGCTGGTAAAGATTGTGAAGGTGAGGCACAATAACAGATGCGGGAACATTCACATTGGCAGAATCATTGGAAGACTGTCCGACTCCAATTGGCTGAAAAGAAATACGTCCATCGAAAAACAGACGAGCATTATATATCAAACAAATACAATAATCAATAAAACATCCTAGATACTCTTTAATCAACCAAAGATACCAATATTCACAAAAATATGATAAATAAGAAAGCTAGCTTTAGAACAAATGCGAAGTTACAAACCAGTTGTTGTTTGAAATCCGCCATCCAATCACCAACACTGGCAGATTTCTTCAGTGGTGAAGAATCCTATATGTCATGTAACAGGAAGAGAATATCAAATGAGAGGAGTAAAGAACATAAATAATTGACAATAATCAATTAAACCATCAACCAACCTGTGGAGATCGGCGTGAAACTGAACTTACAGGAATATCCTGTGCAACAAATGAAGTCAGTTAAAGTTGTAGATAAGGACAAATCAACTATGGGAAGAAAAAAAATATACCTTCACAAGATCTAAATTTTCTGATGTCACAGAGAACCGCCCTTTAATTTGCACAAGATTAGCCTTAGATTTATCATCTGAGGAATCTCGGAATCCTAACAAGAGTTGGTAAAACAAAAATCAAAACCAAGAGCTTAACAGGACTGGTTAGAAAAATACCAGACTGTGCAAACATAGCTTACAATGCAAATGATAATTGAAATACCTCCAGAGGATTTTATTGGGGCCGATAAACTATTTGCTGAAGCACGATTAGGAAGCATCAATGGACCACTAAAGCTTGGAGCACGTCGTATATCACGATTACTTTTCTCACCTGATAACTGACTCTCATTCTCAAACCTAAAAGTAGCAAAGCATTGCAAATTAAACTAGAGCAAGGACGCCTCAATTACCAAATAAGCATAAAATGACCAATTGGACACAATAAACATTTACTTATTTATTTTAACTTCAAATTAAACTAGTTACACACTATACTTATAAAGAATCAATAAAGATAAAAGTGAACAAGAGGATTCTCCAGAAAGGTAGACTTTAAAAAGTGAACTTCTAACTATATTATATATACATTTCTTTCATATAAAATTTACCTATTTAACATATATTGGTTCATGTGGTACAGCAAGTTAGTCACTTTACCTAAACATAGATAACAAAGTAAAAGAAGTATACATATAAACTATTATCAATGCACTTTCTTATTTAACATAAAAAATGATTTCCATTGAAAGATCAGAGATGCATAAACTTTTCCCAAGAGTTTATCATCAAGCCTAATTTAAATAATTTCAAGTTTGAGCTTCCTTGTATAATGAGCTAAGCTCAAATAGTTCATGAATAGTCCAACTCATTTACACCTCTATTTATCATCTTTGTTCCTTTGATAAAATCACAAAAAGGTGAATAATCAAAATACTTCAATTTTCAACATTACTTGGCTATACTCTTCAAACAGAAAAAGTTTAGTGAAATGTGTTCAAAATATAAATCAATTTCACCAACTCATCCCCCATTAATAATATTTTAAGCATGTCCCGCTAGAAAATACTCTAGCAGTTGAGATATATATTAATGGTATTATGCTAAATGAAAATTAATACTTAAATGTTATTTTGACCCTCGATACATATAAATAGTTTCCTTGGCATTCCAAAAAGCTTAGAAAGGTTATGTTGAACCTTTAGACGTATAGTTCTAAACCTATTGGGACACAAGAGAATGGAAAAGTAGTTAGAGACGATTAGAGTAGTGAGCTAGAGAGACTTAATTAGATAATGAAGGGTGTAAGGATAAAGGTATCATTCAGATTTGTTAGCATTGAGTAAACAGGGAATAAGCTTTGTTGTAAGAAGAAATCCCTTAGAAGAGAATCCTTTTTCCTATTAAAACATTTGATAAAAATGCTCCTTATCTTTGTTTTGACCAATTCTCCACTTCTCATCTTTGGGTTCCTTAAAAAACAGTACAACCTGTGGGATAGGATTGCTTGTCTGGGCATAAATGAAGAAGTTGATGGTGTGCTCTTGAATAAAGTGGCCAGTAATCAGCCTATTCTTTCATTTAATTCTTCTTAGAATTTGGGTTGGGCCTAACTTAACCTTGCAAAACTGCCTTGTAAGGTGAGGGTTTTCCAAGCTTTATAAACACTGCACAAGCTATATTTATAAGCAATGTGGGAATAAATCCACCCTTTCACACCCAACACGCTTAAGGTGTTGGAGGCTGCAATTAAGGCAACCCAAATGCCTCAATTAAGCGGTTAGGGGAGGACCGCAATGAAGGCAGAAATTCCAACATATTTGACAATTGTAAGATCAAGAAGGTTGGCAGAATTGAAGAGCTAAGGCAAATGATCAATGGGTTGTTGAAAAAGTATGAAAATTATGTTAACGAGGAAAGTGGGAAAGTGCTAACGTGGAGGCAAGATCTGGCTCCTCCACAATCAAACGCATAGCATAGAAAACATGGATGGAGTATTGAGTTTTTTAATGCCGGAACTCATTCTTGGGGAATGGTGTCAAGATTTCCTAGTTTAATGGAAGTGACTCATTAAGTTGAATATGAGAAAAGCAAGTAAAACCAGAACCAGCTTGGTCATTGGAGAAGAAACAGGAAAATCAAGAAACAAAACCAAAACTTGATAAGATAACAGAAACAAATGATGAACCAGTTAATGATTTGGTCAAGGCAAAAGTTGAAAGAGGAGATGCTGATATGGCTCAATGTTTATAGTTCACACTTCACACTTCACAGTGTTCGTAGAGATGATCATGGAAGAAAAAAGTTTGCTACGGTGAAAAGGAAATCACCATAGTCACAGCTGGGTCTTATTAAACATAAGGGTCAAGAAGAAGATAGATCTGTTTACTGTAGTGAAGCATGGGTGGAAGTACCGATTGGTGGCAAAAAAAAACTAGGTTTTCAGTCCAGTTGGTGAACTGGCTTCGCTCCCAGATCAAAACATTTTTAAAGCCGCTATGGAGATTTCATAGGAATGGCATGTTAGTGAGGAAGGAGACATATTGGTTAACAAAGTAAAAAACCAGGCCCAAGGTGTGGCGTGTGAATGAGAAAAGGATTAAGAAAGGAGCCTAAAGGAAAGTGTGATAGCTGATGAGGCAATTATGTTAGGATATTTCCAATTTCCATAATAAGTAGCATAGTGGAAAATTAGTTAGGGAGGATTGTTATTTCCATTTCACCTTAATGGTTAGGCAGTGAGAAGCTTGTTTCTCTACTGCTAGCTTTGCTCAGATTTTGTATTACGTTTTCCTCATTCCATATATCAATAAATCCTTTTCCTATCTATTCATTAATCTCTACTCTATCAAGATTCAAGTTATTAAAAGTTTGGCTATGTCCCCACACTGGCCACCACAACCAAAGCTAACAGACGCCGGCCTACCAGACAGGTGTTTGCACCTAAGAGATCCATCCCACTGGTGCAAAGTGGGTTCTAGAGGAGAAGAAAGGGGGAAGGACAGAATTGACATTCTGAACAGAGGGTTTGAAGCTTGAGCAGGTCCAAATTGGTTTTAGTAATGAAACTTGTTAAAGTAAGGTAAGGTAAAAGGAAGTTTCTGCCAACCAAGCTCATATTTGGACATTATAGCAAGGGCCAAACCCAAGTTGACAGAATAATAAAGTGGCTTACTGTTCTTGGAGCAATGCATATCAGAATGGAGACAAAATTGAGTATAGCTTCCTAGATTTCCAGTTTTCAAATTTCAACTTTGAAGATAAGGTTGAATTTCAAGAGGGTATTATTGTTTGGATAACAGCTTAGAAAATCAGTTAAAGAAAATTAGAGTAATTAGCTAATGAGTTAGATACGTAAATGGATGGTGCAAGGGTAGTGGTATCAGTATCATTCAGATGTGGCCGCATTGAGTGAACTGAGCAAAGGTTCTGCTGAGAAAGGAAACCCAGGAGAACTTTTTCTGTAGATTTTAAATCATCCAAGAAAGAAAAATTGTTCCTTATCTTTGTGTATACCAATTTTCCATTTTCTTCTCTAGATTCCTAACATAACCATACTGTCTGTTTCTGCATGCTGTTAAAACATGGGGAAGACAGTGTTTTACTTTCCATCCCTTCCATTTTATTATATCCCTTTCATTTTCATTCCACTCCCTAAAACTTCCAAATATAACCAAACTTAAGAACAAATAACAATGATATAATATGCAATATGAAACATACCTTTCAAATAGACGTCCTCTTTCGGGTAAATAATGACCAAGAACTGTGCCAGGCACAAGCGGCCCACTTTGGGTTTTACCAACTTTCACTGCCTGAGTTTTAATTTTGCTTGTTCCCACGTCCTTTTCTGAAGTAGATGTTGTTGCCTCAGCAATCAATCCATTTCTTTTATCACTCTGTGGTACGTCATTACCACCCACTTGTAATGTGGACTCGTCGTGTTGTGAGTTATCTGAATTTCTCTTGTCCACGCTGGATTGAGAATCACTTGCATCCTGTCATTACAATTAACAAAAAATTTCATAGATTATTTTTATGGTAAGAAATCACTCGACATGATTTGTGATAAGACACTGGTTGTATTATTGTAATAAAGAAAGTTAGCTCAACCAACCCTGTTAGAGCTGAAGAACTTGTTTTCATCTTCTTCCGTCATCTCTGCAATATCATTTTCATCCTGCACCTAGTAAAATCATAAGATATTAGTTATGACCAAACAAAGAGAAAAAGCAACCACGTATAATCTGAAAACAGGATAATTCATACCAATGAAGCTTGAGCTTTCAAATCTTCAACATCGAAGTTCCACGCACTAACTCCTCGCTTATATTCACTCTAGAAAGGGAAATATATAAATAGATTAGACTTCAATGGTTACAAAACAACGATGTTGTATTCTTTTTTCTGCAAGAAAAACATACACTTCAATCTATATTTCCAAAGCTTTAAAATGTCAAACTTTCAAAAGATGGGTCATCTCTTTATCTCACTCGTAAACCAAAAACATTGTTAGAATTGAGACCAATTCTCTTTATGCCCTTTGTGTAGTACATACTATAAACTGTGCTGTGCAATCAACAAAAGATGCATTTTAATTAAGAAAAGTACTTTATTTGTTTGTTCGTCAATTCTTTTTCAGGTATTTGGCCAAAATATTATAGGGCCTTTAAGTGAAAGCAAAAGGGAGAAAAACTTGTGTAAAACATAAGCAAAAAAACTAGATATTCTCCAAGGAAACAAAGATGCAGAGAAAAAAATTGTTTTCTTATCTTTTTGTAGAATTGTTGTTTGCGAAAGCATTTACCAAAATAGCAAATTTACACCACAAGGCCAAATGAGTGTGCAATCATGATCATTATCATGTTTTGTAAATTAAAAAAAAAAAAAAAAAAAAAAAAAAAAAAAAAAAAAAAGTCCAGAAATTGCTAGCTCTTCCTTTTTAGATCAAATTGACAACTAATTCATTCCATACATGAAAATTTAGCTTGTATCAACCCATACATGTAAATGCTTGCAGGAACCACCGGAAAAGAAGGGAAAAAAAAAGACTACATTTAGTGACATAAAAATTGAATATCAGCTTTACCTGAGATATTGCTTCTTGTTCTGCAGAAGGCATTCTCTTCAGTGCTAGTTGAGCTGCATCTTTAAGCTGCAACATTGTATTGAAGTCATGCAAACGTAACAGAACAAGAGGAATTACAGAATATGCACTGAAGCATGAATGAAATCAAACCTGGAGGGCTTTTACACGAGTCCAAAGAGGCGGTAAATCAGCAAATAATTTCTTCACAGAAAGCTCCGGAGGCTTGGCTTGTTTGAAAAAGGAGTGTTTCAGTAACTTGTCCACAGACGGCCTCTTTGTTTGATCTTTTACCAGGCACATAGCAACCATTTCCTTAAAAGACTGATCACAACTGGAAATACTTTAATTAGACTGTCACTATTAAAGTATTCCTTTTTTTAGGAATACTATTAATCTACTATAAGTATTAATTCAACACACTGTAATTTCGATATGCAAACAATATCCAACGTATTAAATTGCAGTCACAATAGAGATTGCATCTTTAAGCTTGACATTGCAGATAATCACAGTAAAAAATGACTGATGTGTCCCTAATCATTGGTTGTAGTAGAGATTGCATTGTTATCCTTAATATGGCGGATAATCAATGTTTCTCATGGTGGATGGCGGTCCATGGCGGAGCGCCAAAATCCCGCCATACCAGACACTTTGTGGCGCCATATAGCGGATTATGGCGGAAAACCCGCAAGATTGGCTGATATTTACCATTGTGGCAAGTCCAAAAACTGTCACGTATATCCGTCATAGCGCCGCAATTGCAGATATTTGATAAAACTTGCAGAAAATCACAATCAAATAAGACAGATGCAGACCGAATCGCGGTTGCAGAATGTTTGACTAAACTTTGTCTATATCAAAACCCCTCTTTACTCTCATTACTTATTAGAGATAATTAATGAACAAAGTAAAACTACAAATACACACATATACATGACAAAGAAGGAGTGTTTCAGCTTTTCAAAAAAAGTGTTTCAGGAAATTGTCCATGGACGGCCTCTATGTTTGATCTTTTACGAGGCACGTTGCAACCATTTCTTAAAAGACTGATCACAGCTAGATATACTTTAATTAGACTGCTCCTATTGAAGTACTAATACTATCAATCCACAGTAATTATTAATTCAACACATTGTAATTCAATAAAGAAACAACATCCAACATTTTAAATCGCATTCGCGTAGAGATTGCATCGTTATCATTAATATTATAGATAATCACAATCAAATATGACTGATGTTTCCCCAATCACGGTCAGAGTAGAAATTGTGTCGTTATCCTTAATATTGCAGATGATCAGAAATCAAATATGACTAATATGTCCCCAATCGCAAACGGAGTAAAGATTGTGTTGTTATCCTTAATATTGCAGATAATCACGAATCAAATATGGCTGATATGTCCCCAATTGCGGTCGCAATAGAGATTGCAATGTTATCCTTAACATTGCAGATAATCACAATCAAATATGACTGATGCAGCCGCAGTCACAGTAGAGATTGCATTGTTATGCTTGACAGAGAATCGCAATCAAATATGACTGATGCAGCCCCAGCCGCAGTCGCAGTAGAGATTGTGTCGTTATGCTTGACAGAGAATCGCAATCAAATATGACTGATGCAGCCCCAGCCGCAGTAGAGATTGCATTGTTATGCTTGATATTGCAGAGAATCACAATTAAATATGACTGATGCAGCCCCAGCCGCAGTCGCAGTAGAGATTGCGCCGTTATGTTTGATATTGCAGATAATCGCAATCAAATACTACTGATACAGCCCCAGCTGCAATCGCAGTAGAGATTGCATCATTATGCTTGATATTGCAGATAATCGCAATCAAATACGATTGATGCAGCCGCAGTCATGGTAGAGATTGCATCATTATGCTTGATATTGCAGATAATCGCAATAAAATAAGACTGAGGCAGCCCCAGCCGCAGTCACAGTAGACATTGGGTCGTTATGCTTGATATTGCAGATAATCGCAATCATATGCAGTCGCAGTAGAAATTGCATCGTTATGCTTGATATTGCAGATAATCGCAATCATATGCAGTCGCAGTATAGATTGCGTCGTTAGGCTTGATATTGCAGATAATCGCAATCATATGCAGTCGCGGTAGAAATTGCATCGTTATGCTTGATATCGCAGATAATCGCAATCATATGCAGTCATAGTAGAGATTGCATCATTATGCTTGATGTTGCAGATAATCGCAATCATACGCAGTCGCAGTAGAGATTGTGTTGTTATGCTTGATATTGCAGATAATTGCAACCAAAAATGACTAATGCATCCCCAATCGCAGTCGCGGTAGAGATTGCGTCACAGTCCTTAATATTGCACATAATCGCAATGAAATATGATAGATGCACCCTCGATCGCGACCGTGGAATGTTTTTACAAAACCTTGTCGATATCCAAATCCCTCTTTACTCTCATCACTTAAAGCCAAAATTAATAAACATGCAAAATAAAACCGCAAATATACAAATACACATAACGAAGAAGTATCCTACGTAAAAACAATGACACGTGTAGGCAGAAAGAAAAGGCATACCTTCGAGAACTTTTTATCACGATCGTAATCAAGACCGGGAGGCGCATTTTGTATGGTCATGAGTAAAACCTAAACAGATAACACAAACAATTAATAGTAGCAAGTAAGTCACTATCTCCCTCACCTCACCAATAGCATTCTATATTCTTCAAATTACATGATAATAACAAAAAAATTGAACTGAACAACACATTTATCCCTTCACAGTCACACAGATAGATAGATAGATTGATAAAATACCTTCATTGGAGGATACTTAGAGAAAGGTGCATGACCATGAGCCAACTCAAGTGCAGTAATTCCAAAAGACCAAATATCAGCCTTGAAATTATAACCAGTACCAGGTTGCAGCACCTCCGGCGCCATCCTTCAAAACCAACCACAAAAACAATATTCAATCAAATCACATAATCAATGAACAAACCATCGAACAACGAAACAATACTGCAATCACATAACATGAATAATGAAGCAAAACCAGTACCAGCAAGGAGTACCGACGAAAGTATTTCTGGAGCGCTGACGATCACCAGTATCAAACATAGAAGCGGAAACACCGAAGTCAGAAAGTTTGACTTCACCATTAGTATCAAGCAAAATATTACCAGCCTTAACATCACGATGAATGTGGCCATGCTGATGAAGATAATCCAACGCCTTAAGCGTTTCCTTAAGAATGGATCCAATAGCATCTTCTTCAAGTCCATCAGGATAAGCAGCTTTCATTAGATGCAAACAAGAACCCTGCGCCATGAAAGGCATAATAACCCAAAGCTTATGATCAACAACGAACGAACAATACGATTTGACAACGTTACGGTGATCAATTAAGCTCATGATCTGCGCTTCTTTTCGAATATCGTCGAAATTGGAGTTGCATCGATCTAGATCGAGGGATTTCACAGCTACTTCTTCGTTGTAAGGGATGTAAACTGCGTGATAAACCGTTGCGCTTGCACCATAACCTACTTCCTCTAGAAGCTTGTAATCGCTAGGATTCGCAGAATAGCTTCTGCTTCCCGAACCCATTTGTGATGTTTTTGGCTGTGTTGACTGTAGTCAGCTTTTAAGAATCAGAAAAATGGATTTCGAAATCGATTTTTCTTTTTTACAGCTTTTTAGAATCAGACCAACCAACACTTTGCCTTTTGCTATAATGACTAGTATGCTTCTTCTGTTAATGAGTTTTGTGTTTTGTTACCCACTTCCTTCGCAGTCTTCGCTCTTCAATCTATCTTCTACCCTACAATAAATAAATAAATTTTCATTGTAAGAAGATAATAAGCCGTGTTAATTGTTGTTGTTATTATTTTAAGGGTATTATTGTGATTTTGGTTGAATTTTTTATTATTATGGATTTTTAAATTTTATGGGTCTTGCTTGGGCTTTGTCATCCTTTTTGGCAAAAACTATTTTGTTGCAAGTAAAAACTATTTAGATTCATCATGTAGTCTTGATTAGGGAGGGAGAATCTTTTGAGACTTTGACATGCAAACTTTTAGATCCTAAAGTTTAGTTAGTCTCATATAATTTTTTGAGTTAGATTCCAAAATTGTAGTTGACAACAACAATTTATTAAAATAGGATGATTGATAATTTAAGATAACTAGTGTTTAGATTTGTATATGTTTTGGTGCATAACATAAAATCAACCTAAAAATAGGTTGAAGGTGGTGGAGTTTCAACAAAGGTGGTAGATAGTTTGTATCCATGATTTTGAGTAAGAGAATGTAAATTATTTTAAATTTAAATTAATTAATGATAGAATTATTTAAATGTTATTTGAGATTCTGTGGATCGAATTTTAAAATAATATAAATAATTTTTATAATGACAATGGATCGACTTGAAGAATAAATATCATGTATAAAGTTGTATATACAATTTTTAATGTTTATCGTGTACAAATGCACACTCTCAACTGAGACTAGATATACTCCAAGTGATAAATGTTCTTTGTGGTTGTTGTCTAAGATTAAAAAAAACATGTAAAACATATTTTGTTGCCAAAGTTATTCTAGAAATAATATAATAAATGAGTTGAGAGAATAAAAGATACTTGAAGTTGAACAAATTATACCTTTTATAAAAGAAGTGACACAATATCATTCACGAGTCTTGTATCTTTGGCCATAGAGTCTTAGAGTTGTATATTCATTTCATCGATTCAATATCCTAAATGTAGTTGACTTTCTTAATTATACATACCAAATTTTTTCTTACATTTTGATCATATGGACCAAAATATTTGATATCGAACAATATAGTTGAGATATCCAAATTCAGTAGTTTGATTTTTGAAAGATATAATAAATCAATTTGCTCTAATAAAGGTGATCTCTATTCACATATTAGGTTATCTGTATTTTATTAATCTTAATATTTTTACCTATATTAATAATATTATTTTTCAAAATGTGATAGTTATATATTAATAATATTAATTTTTAAAATGTGATAGTTATCTTTTATAGTGTTAAATAAGTGATATTATTTGAGAGTTAGTCGATCAAATTTTAAAATGATGTAAATAATTTTTATAATAACAATGGATCGACCGGAGGAATAGATATCGTGTATAGGGTTGTATATACAATTTTTGAAGTTTATGGTGTGCAAATGCACATTTCAACTGTGACTAGATATACTCTTAGTGGCAAATATTCTTTGTGGTTGTTGTCTAAGATGAAAACACATGTAAATATTTTTTACCTATATTAACAATATTTTTTTCAAAATGTGATAGTTACCTTTTATAGTGTTAAATAAGTAATAAATTTTGTTTTTATTCTAATTTTTTGAAATGGTTTTTCTTATTTTAGAGAAAAGTACTCATGTGTATGTGTCCCAGTATACTTTCTGGTTTTTCACACATATCCTTTAAGATGTATTTCATACTTTATTGATTTATAAAATAAAACTTTCTTAGTTATTTTGAAAATCATTTTTTTGAAATAATTAAGTTTGGCAATATTATTGGAATATCTTTAGTATAGTAAAATTTATGTTTTATTGTGACTTTTTTAAAATGTGTTATTCTAAACTTGTTTTAATGAAAAAATTTGTATATTGAAACCGATGTGACATTTTTCAAAGCTATTATATTTTCTTATTTGTTTAGAATTTAAATTTAAAGTTGTATCAGTGGTATCATAATAGATTTGTCAAAGTAAGTTGTGATTGTCACGTGTTCCTCATGTTTCAGTAATATATCAGTTTAAGACTAACATTGAGTTAAGGGTGATTATGTGTATATTTTGATGTTAGTTGACTAAATGATATGTGATTCCTCTATTATTATGTACATTATAAACTATTTTTCAATACACAGTGAGTAAATAATTTATGAAAATTGAAGGAGTGTTAGCCACTAACACGTGTCTTACACCTGAATGAATGAATAAAATGGTTGAATGTTTGATGTTATGCGGATAAATATGCATATGTGATTGTATTTATACCATATTAATGACCTATGATGCTACTTGACAAATAATTAGGGTAGGAAATAGTATGTTTGCAAGTTATGAATAAGTGTATGTGATTGGAATTATGAATACATTGGTGAAATGCTATAATTTAATGGTTTTTATGACTCATTCATTGAAAACACGGTTGAAAGAAAATTTGATTCCATTAAGTAAAATGAGGAGTCATGACAACATCTTTTAGTCATGGAATAGAAAAAAGGAAGAAATATAACTATAATAATATTTATAATTATCTATAACAATATATTTATAACAATATATAAAGGCAATACATTGTTTTGGTGTAGTCTATTTTCTTTCCTTTTTAACCTTTTAAAACTACTTAGAAATTACACAAATAAAAATTAACTACTCCCTCCATTTTATATTTGAATATTAAGCAATTATTTATTTGAAAAGAAAACTCACTTTAACTTCTAATTAAAAACTATATTCTTAAATAACTTCTCCTTATAAGTTATATCTTTCGTTTCTAACTCATTGGATCCATAGAAGTAAAAAATAGAGAAGAAGAAAGGCTGCATGAGAAAAATTTGAATCCAGACAATGTTCATGATGGTGGCATAAAAGAGAAATCTACAATTTGCAGATGTCATAATATGGATTGTGAATCACACAATGATTTCTGTTAAAGTTAATTATTAGGGCATTTAGATTCTTCAATCTAATTTTTTGATTTGGTTTTTTATTTATTTTCATTTACTATTTTGTTCTTTTTACATAAATAAATCCATATGTGAAATTGGGATTTGAAAATTGAGATTATTGAATTTTTTTAATGTCTAATACTTTAATTTTTATCTCTATTGTAGAAGAAAAACGAACCATTATCTCTTACGAAAGAAAAAAAAAGTGTGTTCTAATTTCTAGATCAAATAACAATGACTATTTTTATTAAATTTTTTAAATTTTGGTTTCCTCTCTTGAATCTTTATTTATTATTGTTTCAATTTTACCTGTTTAATTTGCAAAAATTTTAAAATATAAACAATATCTCAATTTTTAAATTGTATAATTTCTACAATGTGACGTAAACATTAATCTATACTTATATATACATATAGATAAAGATAATATAACATTTTGGACTAACCTATATTTGTTAGATATTTGACCTTTAACTGTTATTTTAAAACCAACCACATATACAAAATAAATTTAATAAATAATAATTGTTTCATTCTCAATTTAAAACTTTAACAATTTTGTATCATCCTTATCTTTAACTTCTTAAACAATTAGCTCTCTTTCACTTGCAAGTTATTTTTCTCTCTCTCATGAATTGTTAATTTCATCTAAATTCTCTTTCACATGCAATTTTGTTTTTCTTTCCATTATTATTGAATCTTTGAATTGTGTGAATTGTGTATACTGTCAATGTGTCTTTGTGATTACCTATAGTATAAGTATAAAAAAAAAAGGTTTTGTAGAAAGTTAGAGTTGTTACAAACCATTGTATATCACTGTATATTTTACCAATTATCAAGTCATTTACTATACCGCCATTCAACTCCTCATAAATACAAACTTGAATTATATATATTTAAATTTTTTTATCAATGCATCAGAAAATAATTGATCATTTTTAAAATATCCAAAAAAAATACATGATACTTAATTATATTGTCATTTTAATAGTATTTTAAATATTATATGTTGGTGTACCCTTTGGTGGGGGTGTATTTGGTGGTGGTTGGTAGGTGTCCCTAATGTGGGAGGATTATTGGTGGTGTTTTGGTAATATAATAATATAGTGTATAATATTAATATTGGTGGGAATATTATTATTATTATTTTTATATTTATTATAGTTACTATTATTATTAATATTATTATTTTGGTGAGATAATAATATTATTATTATTATTATTATTTTATTAAGTTATTATTATTATTATTATTAAATTATTATTATTATTGGGATTAGAGAATTAAAATAGAGAAGGTGAGGGGTTAGTAGTTCCACGATACATTGTGAGAAGTGAGAGAAAGTGGAAAAAGAACGATAGAAAGGAGAGAAGTGAGAAAACGGAAAAGGGAACGGAAAAGGGAGCGAAGAACGAAGGAACGGGGGAAAATCTGAATTGGCCAAACCTTGGAGGATTCTTTCATCGATCAACCGATTAACAAGGTAAGGGGGGAGAAACTTGATTGGGAATGGTTTATACATGTATAGGGTAGTTGGGGATTCCTTAACCCCGTAGGAAATTGATCGATATATGATAATATATATTGTTCTGTTATGATTGATGATGATTGTTGTTAATTATATAGTAATCCTTAATGAATTGGTGATTTGGGTTGATTTGGCATATAGGGCATATAGGGTGTTTTACAGTTTTTAGGGAAAGTTCTGTATGGCTTTTGAGGTATCGATAAAGTGTGTAGGTGATGATTTTGGGAATAGGAAATAGAAACCGATTGTTTACGGTAATAGGCAAGATTGGTACTAGAATAGACTGAGAATCTGAGTTGAGATGATAGGCATAATTTGGCCTAGAATAGCACTGCAGAACTGTGAGAAAACTTGGTGAATCG